TAGCACGAGCAGTAGCCAAGAAAGGTCTTCCTAACAAAAGAGGCATTTCAGTTCCCTCTTCCATGTCCAACACCACAAAATTTGCTGGAAATATGAACTTGTCCACTTTCACAAGGACTTCTTCAATTATACCAGTGGGTTTCCTCAAAGATCTATCAGCAAGTTGCAAGGAAACCTTAGTAGGCTTAAGCTTAGAGATCCCCAAAGATTTACACAGAGACAAGGGCATCAAATTTATACTCGCCCCACGATCACACAAAGCTTTGCCAACATTAGTGTTACCAATAGAAATTGGAATAGTGAAGCTCCCTGGATCATGACGCTTAGGAGGAAACTTATTATGTATTATTGCACTACACTCTTCAGTGAGTGTCACAGTCTTGCATTCTTGCAACTTATGTTTCCTAGACAATAGATCCTTCATGAACTTGGCATAATTTGGCATGCTAGCCAAGGCTTCAACAAAATGGATATTTATATGCAACTTTTTGAAAATATCAAGAAACCTTCCATACTGTTGCTTCTGAGCATCTTGCTTGAATCTTTCAGGATAAGGTGCCATAGCTCTCACATATCCAGGATTCATCTCAAATTTTTTCTTTTTAGCAACAATCGGTTGCTCTTCTTCTTCACCTTTCTGAAGAGGCTTCACAACCTTAGAAGGAATTACCACTTCTTTTTCTGGCTCCTTAACGTCATTAAGCTTCTCATCAGCTCCCACATTTATGTTCGACTTTTCTGGAGCTACCACCACTTTACCACTTCTAGTTGTGATAGCCATGCAATCTTCCTTTGGATTAGTAATTGTATTACTAGGAAAAGTACCTGGAGTGCTATCAGTAATTTGCTTAGCTAGTAGGCCAATTTGATTCTCCAAATTTCTGATAGATGCATTTATGTTCTTGGTATTAGCTCTAGTCTCTTCCATGAAAGCATTAGAATATTGAGCCATTTGTTCTACTAGCTTCTCCAAATCAGAAGGTTCCTTTTGTGGAAGAGGGGGAGGTTGCAGATAGTTGTTGGAACCATAGTCAAGACCACCTCCTTGACATCTCTGAAAATTACCTCTAGAAGGAAAATTTCAATTTCTTGAAAAAATTTGTTGGGGCTTCTGTTCATACCAAACCCCATTCACTTGCAACTGCTGTGTATATCTCCCATTAGAGTAGGGCACTCATTAGACTCATGAGCTTCCTTACAATATTCAAAAACCATAGGAGTTGATTGAACCTTGGACACTTGAAGTTTCTCAAACTTTTCATTCAAGCTGTCAAACTTTTTGGACAACAGCTTTTGCTCAACAAGCATAGCATCATTGCTCTCCAAATTTATCACTCCTCTTCTTGCTTGAATCGGTACGCTCTCATTCTCATTTCTGGCCAGTTTCTTTATCAAGTCGAGAGCTTGCTCAGATATAGTCTGCCGAATAGAACCTCTAGCTGCACTATTAATCACCAACCTTGTTTCAGGAGAGATACCATTAAAGAAGATTGCCACCTTTCTATCATCGCCTCCCTCATAGTGTGGACACTTTCTGATAAGTTCCTGGAATCTATTCCAGGTTGCACACAATGATTCTCCTTCAAGCTGGCGGAAGTTGGTGATCTCATTTACCAGCTGATTGTACTTCTCCATAGAAAAGAACTCGGCAAAGAACTTTGTTGACAAGTCTTCCCATGTCATGATATTATTAGCTGACTGCCTTTCTATCCACTGAGAGCCCTTCCCTTAACAGCAAAAGGGAATAATCGAAGCCTGATAACATCGGCAGACACTCCATTATGCTTAGTAGTATCACAGACCATCAGAAATCGATCTATGAACTCATGAGGGTCTTCATCCTCAGCACCAGAAAAGTGAGCCCTCTCCACCAAAGTAATTAAAGATGGCTTCGGCTCAAAATTATTTGCCTCCACCGTCGGCCTGAGTATACTTGAATTTGGCCTATTGAACACCAGAGTCAGAATGATGTCCAACAATCTTGGAGGTGGGGTTATTTGCATTGTGGCCTCTGCCACCAGCATTGTTGTTATCCGCCATCTCTTGTATTGGTTGTACAGGTACGCTCTTGAATTCTTCCCAAATTATCTGCTTGGCAACTTTCCTCAGTCTCCTCTCAATCCTTGCAATTTAAGGATCAATCACAAAGTCTTTAGGAGCAATTCTACCTCGCATAAAACTCAGAAAAAAATGATTAGTAACACCTGCAAAACACAGAACAAGATGGAATAAAAATAAAAGTAAAAATCCAATCTCAAAGATCAACGGTTATTTATAATATTGGATTTAACAATCTCCAGCAACGGCGCCAAAAACTTGATGCTTACCGGTAAGTGTACCAATCGCACAAGTAGTATAATGAATGAGTAGAGTATCGTCTCCACATGGATTGTAAACCAAGTACCACAATAACCAGTCCCCTTAAGTTGGAAATTTTGATTGTTTAGGAAAATAGTGAATTGATGGTAAAATAAAGACAAATATTTAAAATATAGAATTTTCAATTTAATAAGCAATGGTAAAAATAAATTGAATTTTTGAGAGAATAACAAAAAGCATTGCAGCTAAGGTACACACACCATATGATCCCTACTTTAAACTTTGGATTGATTGACAATGTTCATTCAATTTAATAACTCAGACAAATTATCATCTAAAATAATTAGTTAAATCCCAATCCCTTGGAAATCTAACCCTTTAATCCAATTGGAACCCTAATTCCTTAGCAATCCCGCATGAAATTAAGCATTAATCACGATAAATCAAACGACTGCAACTCACACAAGTCTATCCCTAGAGCATGCATAAATTGTTACTTCACCCCCTTTCAGAATCAAAAACCCCAATATTCCTATTGCGAACCCTAATTCCCAAATTATTATATCCTATTACGTTTATCAAGTCTAACAGAAATAATAAACAATACGCACATGGTAAAAATAAAAGTATATTAAAATAATCGAGAAAATATAATTCAATCCATCGCAAAAAGGGTTCACATAGGGTTTGTGACCCTAACTACAATAAAGAAATTAGCCAGCCATAGACATAGCTGACATAAAATTATAAAAGATAAAGATGAAGAATGTAATTATGTTGTGCAATTGTGTACCCTTTTTATCAATCACACATTACGCAAGTGCACGTATGAACAAGTAATAAAGTGGATGTGTGAGTCCAGATATCGTTCCCACGAAGAAAACTATAAAATTAGGATCAATGTGAAGCAATAAAAGTAACAATGTTTATGAAAGTTTTATGAATTAAGAACTAAAGAGTAAAGTAATACTAACAACTGACAAATAACTAAAAGCAAAGTAAAAATAAACTAAGAGTGCACTCAAGAACAGATAAGTCAAGTATCAAAGTAGATTGTGATCAATTTTCCCAATATTGCAATTTCACCAGAATGCAGTAACAATGCTATAGCAATTATCCAACCAGTAATCAGAACACTAATGCATGCAAGGGCTCTCACCAACAATACATGTATACTAAGTCCCATATCTCTTTGGCCAACATAGTTATAAATCATTAAGTTCAAGTTCCATTTGATTTTGTGTGTGAATGATCTCTCTATCCACAATTAACCAATTAAATTAGTTAAACCACAATGCTTAATAATATTCTGAGTTTACCTATATCTCTATAGCCCAAACCCTAAGTATCTTGCAGCTCTCTCTCGATAAGTCAACAAGAATAGAGACAAATTAAGTACTTTATTAAACAACTAATTGGAAAATCACATAACAAAGTTTAGGCAAACTGATTACATCACAATAAGGGTACTCTATCACCCAATCATAACAAATTAGGTCATACTTGAATAGAAAGAAACAACGAAGAGGGATAAAGATTCCATAAAACTAAAATAAAACAAACATGGGTGTTGCTGTAGCACTGCTCTCGCAGCAACCATGGGCTTCGCCACCATCCACCATATCTCAGCCGTCAGAATAGTGCAGGGATCCACCAGATTCAATGATCTCTCTATCAAACCCTAGCCTCACCCTTTGATCTGTTGGATCTCTCTCAACAAACCCTCAAAATCTCTTCCAAGTGTTCCCCCCACTCTCTCTCTCTAAAAGAGAGGGTGACCAGCCTCAAAGAGAGGCTCACCAACCTGTTTGATGTGTGTAGGCTTCCTCTTTTTATAGACTTTGATGAATTGGGCTCCAATCAGCTCTTCAAATCCATTATAAATCATATTCAAATCTGCTTTGTTTTGCTGCAGCTATGATTGAAGATACAATTATGTATTGCTGCAGCGCTGAAGATTCTTTCCTTATTTGCTGCAGATATGATTGAAGATTCTTTCCTTATTTGCTGCAGATATGATTGAAGATACATATTCACACCATGTCAAAAAGCACAAAAATCCAACCACAACCTTCCACTAGGTGTGGTGGAGCACACAAGGGATTGAAACGCAAGTTTCAAAGGTTTACCTCAACTCCAAAATTATTGCTCTTCCACGTAAGCTCCAAGCTTATTCCACCTCTATTGAATCTGTGAGAGGGAACCTATAATGATCAAACAACAATGATCATCAACCAATTGCAAGCAATCACTCAACTTCACAATAATTATAACCAAGTATAACACTTAGGCCTAATGGCCATCTTACACATAATTCAAATACCCCAACCATTTTGGTCATTAAACTGATTCATCATCCCACCATTTATACACCAACGAATCAACCATTGATTAAACAACATTTTTCACATCATTTTTCCTTATTTTCCCCTATAGGTCGAATTCTTCGTGCTTGGATGCCAAAATATTTTCAATCCAATTCCATACTTCAAATACATCATACAACCTATAATCAACTTATACAATTACTCCACAACTCAATTACACCATCACCCAACATATCAATTTCATGAAGTCACGCATCTCAACTTCAAAATTTCCTAAGTTATGAATCCATTTCAGTAATAATTTTTATTGCATCAATCATCATCATTTATCATTCTAAGCATCAAATTCCAAAGGAGCAACATCATTAAAAGCCCCTAAATACCATAACTCATCATCACATAATCAAAACCCTCACCAAATTATGATCTCAATAAAAATTCCATGAGAGTGAGAAAACTTACCACCAATAGCTTCCTAGGATCCAATGGGATAGTCTCTAACCAATGAATCAACACAAAAAGTCCCAATTTTTTTCCAAAATGTCATAAAATTCGTGGCTGACTTTGGGGTGTATCTCCTCATATAATGATCCCCACAAGGTGCACTCTACATGAAAGTCACTCACAAGATCAAGGGGAACAACTTTGTAGTTGGGAGTTTCTCTAAAAAATGGCTCTAACTCAAAGTTGCAATTTGAAAAGCTTACTACCCTAAACCATGGAGAAGAGCTCGTGAGGGAGAAGAAGAGAGGAGAGAGAAAGTGGAAGGAAATCTGATTTCAAGTCCTTTTGTCCACTTAAGTTACTTAAGTGGGTCTCACACGTCAATCAACTTTCTTAAATCACCCAATTTAACCCACAAATTCATAACCTACGTATTTTTCTCGTTCACGTCATATTTTTACTTTCTAAAAATACTGATCATATTTTAACGCTTATTGGTACAATTAAACAGCAGTATTTTACACCGGTAAAATCATTATTAATCAAATTTTCTGAAACTTTCCTATTCACTCGATTTTTCGTTTTGACTCCATTTTCGGCATTATTTTTGCCATTTGAGACCTTCTACTCAATTTTTCATGCCTTGAGTTGCGTGTTTGGTAAATTACCATTTTATCTTTCTTATGCAATTTGACCCTAATCTCAGGATTTTCACTAATCCTTTCCTTTAAACCATATTGTCATGTATAATAATACGTTTACAAAATTTGAGGTGTTATATTCACCCCTACTTTTTGAAATTTTGTCCGCAAAATTAAGCTATCCTCTCCGCTAACTCATGATACAACCGAAAAATCTCATT